GTGTGTGTGTGTTCTAAGTTTCTATTCTGAACATCCTTGTTTAAAAAAAAGATTTGTCCATATACATTCTGCTTGGAAGATAGTCACTGGAGATTTTTTTCAGGCTTCTAATATAATTATTTTTTTCTTGATAATAACACACTGAGATGGTATGGATAAATGAAATGTATAGACTCTGAATTTTATTTCAGTTATAAAAAGCAGTATCATCACCCACTTAATATTTATAAGGTCTAAAAACATGCAGGAAATTAAAAAAGCACGAGTTAATTTCCAGTATTTGTTCATTTCTTTCCATCCTTTGCCTGAGGTATGGCAAGCAGTATAGTGTTCTCGATACCTTTAAATGGAACTTGCCTTCCCCCAAAGGCACCACTGCCCTTGCAGTAGTTCTCGCTAATGAAGATACCTCATCATCCATGCATTTCCTTCATGGTAGAAACACTAGTCATTCTCTTACCCTTGCCTATACATATGGATACCATTTGCTACAGGTTTTATTTTATACTTAGCTTTGTTTTTGAATTTCCTACCTCCTCTCTCTATCTGCACTGTAACTCCATTAGTTCAAATTTCTTTGTTTCTCCTTGGTCTGTTAAAACTATTAACCTGCCCCTCTCACTGTTTGCCTTCCAATTGTTAGAACAACTCTCATTTTATAACAGTTTAATATCTTTCTGATAACAATTTAGCTTCAGATTGTCTGTGGAATAAAGTTCAAGCTTCTTGGCATATTATGAGGCTCTCTACGATGTGAAGCAATCCTGCCTTTTCTTTCTTGGTATTTTATTCTTAAAGATATACATGATAATTTCAACTATTAAAACATTCAGAGAATGAATAATGTTTTTGTTTTGCATGTTTTTTCCATGTTTATGTAGATATTTCTCATCTGCACAATGAGAATAATGAGACTATCTGTCTCATAGTTGTATAAGTCTATCTTGTGGTTGGATAAATGAGTTAATACATATAAAGGATTTAGAATATTGAGTCACACACACATTCTCTTGTTTGACTTTTTTCCTTTAACATATGTTGGTTAACTTTAAAGGTCAGTGTAAATAGATCAAAGTTATATTGTAATAGTTATATAATATTCCATAGTGTTGATCAATGTTAATTATGTTTTCCCTTTTAGATGAGCATTTATGAGCATTTCTTTTATACTATTAAAATTCTATAGGGCTGGGGATTTAGCTCAGTGGCACCATGCCTGCCTTGAAGGTCATGAGTTTGATCCCCAGTACCCCCCAAAAAATAAATAAATAAAAGAAAAAGGAAAAATTCTATAGTAAACATTTTGGTTTGTGTGGTCTTCATATTAGTACTTTTATTTAATATGAATCATTTCCAAAAAGTGCGTCAAACAGTATTTGTATTTGAAATGTTATTAGATTATGCCATGTTACTTTTTAGGAAAGTAGTTGCAATTAAACCAGCAGCCTATAAAAATGGCATCTTTTTTACATCTTTGCCTCTCTTGTATGTCATCAGTGAATTTTTAAAAACTTTGTATTCATCTGTATGTAAAATTAGACCAACATTGTTTAATTTTGTACTTTTTTAGCCACAAGTGAGGTTGAGTATATTTTCAAATGTTAATTAGCCTTTACATTTATTGGTCTGTGAATTGCTTCTTAATAGCCTCTGGCTATTTTTCTTTTCTTTTTCTTTTTTAACTTTAAAGGATAGTAGTAGCTGTGTGTCAGATAGATTGAGTCAGTGTATAAAACTTTTTAGAAGTTTGGATCATTTCTTCCTTTCTGGGAGCCCTGGCTCCTGTGTTGGTAGGCTCCCTCCCTTGCAAAAGTGTTGACATAAGCTGAAAAAACTGATCAGCAGGAGTCCACACCACTACAAGAAGTAGGATCTTGAAACAGAGAAAGTAACTTTTCCTAGATAGGGAAAAAGATGAATGCCAAGATCTGCAGGAAATTTCTGTAAGCTAACCAATAACAACAGAGAAAGACTATGTTAAGGAGCACAGGGTTTTAAAATAATTCCATAATTTTTAGTATTGTTAAGTTACACTGTGGTAAATATTCTTATAACTAAATACGTATTTTTTCAAACTATTAATTACTTCCTCCTTTTTGAAATTTCTAAAGCTTGTTTTCTCTTTTGTTATCCTCTTTTCTGATTCTTGATTTCTACTCATCTTTTTCATTTTCTTTCTTCTGCTTATTTAGAGATTAATTATTTTTCTGTTTTCTTGAAGTGGAAGCTGAGGTCATCAATTGAGACTTTTGATTTAATATTGTTATTTTCATTCTATAAATTTTCCTTTAGGTATGCTTTAGCTACATATGAAAAGTTTTGATACATTTCCTTTCAGTTCAAAATTTGCCATTTTTCCTTTTTGTTATCTTTGACTTTTGGATTAACTTTGTTACCAATATAGGGGTTTTCCAAATACCTTCTATTGCTGATTTATAATTTAACTCCCCTGGAGTTAGAGAACATATTTATATGATGTGAATAATTATAGTAGACACATTGAGACTTGTTTTATGTTCCAAATATGCTATATTTGGAAAATTTTCTAACTTTACTTGCCAAGAATGTGTGTTCTGCTATTGCTGGGTAGAGTATGCTGCAAATTGCAGTCAGGTTAAGTTGGTTGATAGTATTATGCTGGGTAGAGTATGCTGCAAATTGCAGTCAGGTTAAGTTGGTTGATAGTATTATTTAAGCCTTATATATACCCTTACTGATTTTTTTGTTTGCTTATCAATTATTGAAAAAATGTTTTAAATTTTTAAACATTGGTGGATAAGTATAGTTCCCTTTGAAGTTGTGTCAATTTTTACTTCATATACACAGACATATATATATATCTAAAACTTGGGTACTTGCGCTTATGAGGCAGGCTGCCAAACCACTGAGCTAAATGCCCCTTACTTCATGTATTTTGAAGTTCTTTTGTTATATGCAGAAATATTTAGGATTGTTATTTCCCCTAACAAATTGTCCTATTTATAATTATGAAGTGGCCTTTTATATTCTATGAACATATTTGCTCTGAAATGTATGCTAACAAAATTAGCTCTGCTTTTTCTTTTCTCTCCTTCTCTCCCTTTCCTGGTGATTAAAGCCAGGGCCTTCCTCTTGGAAGGCAAAGGCTCTGAGCTACATTCCAGCCTAGTCATTCAGCTTTCTTTTGACCAGTGTTAGCATGTTTCTCCTATCTTTTTACATTTTAATAAGGGATACTAATATTGTGTTCTAGTACTTTTTAAATGAGCTTTGTAGATACTGATTCATTTGATCCTGACAGCAACACTCTCAGGTAGCACTATTATTATCATCTCCATTTTGCAGATGAGGACTTTCATTTCTGAGATCTGTGATATTTCATCCATGGCTATGCCCAGTGAAAAGTTTTGAACTGAGGTAGTCTGACTTGAGAACCATACTTTTACTTACTATATATAGTTTTTTTCATAGTCTTCTTGAAATTATACTTGTAAGTATGCACGATACTTAAGCTTCACTGTGGCCAAATCATAAATTATTTTCTTTCCATCCATCTTTCATTGTCCTCTTACCAGCAAATTCGCTGCTGTTTTCCCATTTTGTATGTTAGTATTTTTCTTTTCTTTTCAAACATGTAAGCCTGAAGTCCAAGTCATTTTAGATGGCACCTTTCTTTTTCCCACCTTCCTCCACTTGATCATGGTAGTTTTTTGCTTTTTTTTTTTTTTTTCATTAATCTTTTTTTTTTTTTTTCTTAATCTTTTTTTTTTTTTTTCTTAATCTTTTTTTTTTTTTTTGGTACTGGGGATTGAACTCAGGTCCTTGCACTTGCAAGGCAGGCCACTGAACCACTGAGCTAAATCTCCGGCTTTTTTTCATTAACTCTTGAATTAGTGAGTCTACTCATTTTTTTTCTTTTAATGAGTTTATTGGTACATTTTAGGTATACAGTACAATTACGTTCATTATTGGGATCTTGTACCTTTACATGACAGGTCTTGGTTCTCATTTTTTCCCCTTGTTCGTGTGAGTCTACTCCTTTTTATCGCCTCCCTCTGGTTTAAATTTGTCATGATCTCTCAGTAGGAATAATTTTATTCTCTTCTCAGAGATAGCTTGTGTGCTCACTGGTACATTAATTATCTTAGTACTTTTAAATTATTAGTTCATGTGTATCTTACCATTAAAATGTTCTTATAAAGAAGGAACTTGAGTTATGATTTTGTGCTCTCAGTTCTTGTCCTAAGATGTGACCTGAAATTAATGTACAATAAATATTTTGTGAATATGAGTTCGTTTATCATTAGATATTATTTTTAGTATCATCTTGAACATGAGATCAAATCATTTTTTGTGTGCTTTTAGAAAAGTGTCACTCATTGCTTTATTTTTCCAAAAGCTTAAAGTAATTTTTTAAATTGTAGTAATCAAGGATTAAATTAACTCTTAGACAGTTACATGTTATCTCTAGAATATACTGTATAGTAAAAACAATAACTGCAAATTGTTAGTACCTTCTTATGACTTAATAGTAGTCTGACTCTTTAATTTTATTTTCAAGTATGAAAAATTGATTACACTTTCTTGGTTGCAGTATAACAGCAATTAGAGTTTATATATTTTCTATAATGCAACAGTGTGTTATAACTTACATAATTCACTGCCATTTCAGAAAGAGTGTTGAAAAGGAGGAGTCAGGTGTTATAAATCTTTTTTCTTTGGTAAGAATATAGTATCTGAATGTTAATATTTAATTAATAACAAAGTAATAGGGATCTGAATGTGGATGCACGGCAGTGGGTACAATCCCCTCATTTTCAAGGACAGTTCCAATTCCTATTAATTTTTCTGCACCAAATAAAGTTGTTTTGAGGATGAATGAAAGATGGCAGTCATTTCCTACATGACTAAAATTTTCACAATGCCACATGCTGCTGGCTATGGGACTATCAGGCTTCTTTTTGTTTTCCAAAGCACGATTCTGCTTAACTGTTAACTCTGTGATTGTGCTTTATTTGCAGCATCTGGCGAGGCCCCAATGTGAACTGCACAGACAGTTCGGGTTACACTGCTTTACACCATGCAGCCTTAAATGGACATAAGTAAGTGCCGCTTATTTGGACTGGAATCCTTGGGCATTTAGTTATATGTGATGGCGTTGATTACATCTGAGGACACCTTTCTCACGCTGCATGAGTTTACCGATAATAACAATAACAGTGACTGTAGAGCACACTTGTAATCCCAGGCACTCAGGAGGCTAAGGTAGGAGATTGGGAGAGATGGGGAGAGGGAATCTGGTATCTTAAATTGCTGTTTGAATAACTAATAACATTTTTGGTCCAATTAGTTCTTTCTTGGATAAAGATATTAACTAGTTAAATTTACTTTCATTCATTATAATCTAGAAGTATATGAGAGTGAATTCAATATGTAATGAAGCTTTAGTCAGAAAATTAAATGTAATTTTTGATCATATGGAGCATATCTGCAACTTTATTCCTTTTCAATAAGAGAAGTAAAAAGATTTAAGAAAACCTGAACTCAAAAAAGCAGTACTGAATTTTGGAGTTTCATTGGTTTGTTAATTCTGCAGCTATATGAGGATGAAGAGTAAACATTTTTTTTGTGTGTGATTTAGTTACAGAGAAACTTACTTTTGAAGCAGACGTTTGAATATTGATCTTTCCAGTTTAATTTTTTCAGAACATATACTGAACTTCTTGTAAGATATTTCATATTAATCAGAAATATAGTTATATCTCTCTGAAATGAATGAAAACTATGTATTGTAGCAAAAATCAAAGCTTTCAGAATTTCTATTTTCCCCTGCATTTATATGCATTAAGTTCAAGCTGCATAATATTGAAATCATTTAAATTGGATCATTAATTTAATTTGATATTTTGTTTTTCCTTTGGGAAATGGAATTATTTTTCCTCTGATCCCCATCAGCCATATTTACTTTAGAATTTTAGAAATTTTTTTGTATAAATGTGAGCTGGGATTAAACCTATGCTATTGTACATGCTAAGCACATACTTTACTACTTAGCTATGTCACAATTCTAGAGCACTGTAAAATTTCCAAACACTGGATATAAGAAATATTGCTGCTTTATGTTTAAGATACAAGGAATATTTTGCTGCTTGCGATTCTACAGACATTAACGAACAATTCAGTATTTCATGCCAGGTAACCAAGTACAGTGAATATGTTCATTTACTTGGTGATACCACTGAAGAAGACTAAACACTCTACCTAAATAAACATAAAAAGTAATAACACTGAGTTAATATTTTAGTGTTGACTACTCTCCTAATTTAGACATTAAAAAGTACCTGAAGTTTAATTTGTTCCTCATGAGTCTAGATGAAAAAGGCCTATTTAGTTCATATAACATGAATGTATCATAAGAAAGATTAATGACATTATGTTGGTTAATAATTTATTATATTTATGATTAAGTAAAACTGGTAGGTACTTATTTAATTAGAGATAAAACTTTACATTTCAAAAATATATTTCATACTGGAAATCTGATCTCAGCCAGTTCGTTAGATAGTATCACTGAAAAAAGAGGTAGAGCCACTTAAATAAAAATTTTTTAAAAAGTTTAAAATTAAAACCAAGCAAATCTAATAAAAGAAGTTATTTTAATTAAAATTTAAATAAAATTAATAATATTTAGTTAGGATCTTTGTGCTTACCAAAGACAATTTCATAAATATTATTTTTTAATTTAGATATTATATGGTGATAGTACAATATAATACAAATGATTAGTAGGTCATTTAGTAGGCATTTTCCCCATTTTATCATAAATCTTCTTAAAAAAGAATGCATATATATATATGTGTGTATGTATATATATATATATATATATATATAGATATAGATAGATAGATAGATATTAGAAAATGTCATAAAATTTGAACCAAAGAGCAAACGGATTCTGAATGTTTTGAGAATAATAGGAAATAGAATTGATAATCTCAGTTTTTTCTTATTGCCTTTTGATAAATATATGTGCTGCCAAAGCGAGCACTACCTTTTGATAAGTGTATCAGTCTATTTTAGCCTTGCTGCAAGGAGGGCTGCTAACTTTACAGTGAAAGTTGCTACTTTAATTTACAGTTCTGGGCCAAAGTGTATGACCTGCATCTGTTGATTATCTTTTTGCTGGCAGAGTCCCAGGGCCAGAATAGGGAACAGGTATATGCACTTGTCTCTTCTGATCTCTTTCCTCTTTTTCTTATAAAGCCATCATACTTAATTATACAAGCTGTACCCTGATGATTTTATCTAATCCTACTCACTTCCCAAAGGCCCTAACTGTAAACATCACAGATTGATTGGGTTTCCCCCTTCTTAGTACTTTACAATGGTGGCTAAATTTCAACAAAACCCTTGGCAGACACAAACTGTATCCAAACCATAGCACAAAGAAATGCTTTATAGGAGAAAAAGATTTGGATTTTTTTTAACTTGCGTGGGCATTAAGAAATGAGGTAAAAATCTGTCTCACCATTATCTTCAATTTGAAGAAATCTATTTTATAGTAGAATAAATCCTCCTTTTAAGATTCAGGTAGTTTGACCAGATCTCTGTGACTCTTACTTTGCCTTTTAAATGCTGAAATATTTCAGTTAAGAAAGTTACTGAAATTGTTCAACATTTCAATAGCTTGCCTTGAGAGTAGCATTTGGATTGTATATAATTTTATAGTCATCTCTTTCTCATTTTATTTACCCCATAATCCTTTGAGACAGGTAACAAGCTGTAATTTCTAAATCCTGTATTAGAAATATCTGAAAGGGAGATGTAGGTTATTTGGTTTGCTCCAGGTAACCAAATTAGTAAATAGTAGACTTGGTGGGGCTTCAAGCCAAATCTTCTGCTCTTGTTATTCATAGCTACCGACTGACTCCTCATTATCTCACTGTAGTTACTTACTTATCTCAGAATGAAGGACCCTGTGTAACAACTCTTATGTGGCAGAGATGAGGAGAACCTGGTGAACTGGGTAACCTTCAAGTTTCCTTCTCATTTTCAGGTTCTCTTTTTCAAAGGTGATTTTTTTCTGTATTTTCACCTAAAGGGTTTTATTTTTTACTTAGACAAATACTAATATTTGTTTAGTGTTTTATTATTTATCAAGTGATTTCTGTGATCTCATTTAAGGCCCTTACCAGTCCTGAGTAGTAGGTTTTATTATTACAGTATCTTCTACATAAAAGAAAAAAATGGAACTAAATAATTTCTCCAGGATCACAGTATTAGATAGCTTGTCCAGCTGGAACTCAAATTTAAACCTTCAAATTCAGAACTTAGAAAATAATGCTGATTTTCAAAAAAATACGTTAAGATAAAATTTATTTCTAAATTTCTCAGGAGTCTTATAATCAGAGAGTTTGAGACTCCTTGGAGCTGTCCCCTCCCTTCCGGACTTTCTGAATGTTTCTGTAACACATTCTCTCTTCTTTCATCATGATTTCATACATGTAGCAACCAAGTCCAGTGTTCAGGCCACATCCTGGGTGGTATTTTGTACCATTTACTGTCATTTTATATTGTTATCATGCCTATTTTTCATGTAAGCTGTCAGAGTTCTAACCTTGCTTCTGTTCAGACTTCCTCCAGCTTTACTCATTTGTTACCTGCAGGGTCTGATTTTATGAAAAATTTAACTTTAGATTTTTTTGTTATATTCATTTTCCACATTGGTGATTCATTATATAAGATATATATACATATATATATATGATATAAGATATCTATATCTATCTATATATATATAGCATATAGTATAGTTTTATATATATATGTATTATATGTGTCTTGTTTAGGATTTTATGTAGTGAATTATTAGAATTAACTTCTTAAATACTTCTACATGAAAATATAGCTTTGGATTCTGATTGTTTTATATAAAATCAATATAATATGTACAGAATTAATTCTTTGTGAGATTGCATATTTTATTTCAAGATCTTTACTTTTGAAAACATGCTAGGGATTGAATACTGAATCCTATAGATAGGGAATATAGATTATGTGTTGAAATTGCATTAATTGTGGAACTCGTCTCCTAAATGGATTTTCTTTCAGAAATCATTTCTTGGCCTAGCAGAGAAAGGGGAACACATAGTTACGGATAACACACACTCAAAGTGTATTGGGTACCATGGCTGAAAAGTTATTAAACTTTTATTTTTTAACCCTGAGACAGTAGTATGTGTAGCTTTTCAGGATTCCTTCTCTACTTGGCTGCCCTTCTCTTTTAAATGCATCTTAAAGAGCTTATTTCAATTCTCTGTAGGAATGATACATAGAATCTCTAATGTCCCTTGGTATTAATGCCATTTTTGTAAACAGGGAGTATCTTTTTAACTTCTGCTTTTCTTTCAGGCTAAATTTCAGATATAGGCTATCTGGAATTACTTCTTTTTAAAGTGTCCTTTTTATTTATTTTAATGAAATGAGATATGCTTTCCATAAATGAACTCTGCTATGTAGTTTCATTGGGGCCAGGATGTAGCCAAGTGTAGAACAACTGCCTGGTGCAAAGCACTGGGTTTCATCCCCAGTATTACAAAAAAAGTAGTTTTACTGGTTAGTCAGAAAAGAAAAGAAGAGAGGGAGGGAGGGAGGAGAGAGAGACAGAGAGAGAGAGAGAGAGAGAGAGAGTTTACACGTGAATATAGGTGGTGGTGATTGTTTTTTAGGTAAATAAAATAGCATGTCAAATAGGCATACTCTTAAAACCAATTTTATGATTTAATATCTGGAGCAATTACTTTAAATTACTAGCCATCATTGGTATACTTTGATAATGATCTGTTTAATGAAATCAGTGTTTTTCATCATTTTTTTCCTATTGTGTTCTTTTATTTTTTTTCTTCCTTTTTAGAGAAATAGTTCTCAAACTACTTCAGTATGAGGCATCAACAAATGTAGCAGATAACAAAGGTTATTTCCCTATTCATCTGGCTGCCTGGAAAGGAGATGTGGAAATTGTGAAGATTCTTATTCATCAGGGACCATCATATTCCAGAGTCAATGAACAGGTGCACTTGTCAAATGTTTGTTCATGCTGTAATTTACTCTAGAGTTTTGCAAAGGCAAAGCCATATTGAAAAATTGATTATTTTTATCTTTACCCTGCCAAAAACATTTTTATTGCTGAATTCCTAAAGGCAAAATATGAAAATTTCTTTGGCATTTGGATAGGATGCACAGCATTAAGTTGGGCATTTGTAGAGATATTTTGTTAGTGAGAAGAATCCCACATAACGGAAGTAGCTGTAATATTTTTGCCTGTCTTATATAATCATCCATTTTATAGCTATTGAATATTTAAACATAGAACAGCATTCACATTTATAATGAGATTGAGTGTTCCTTAAAATTTTAAATGCTAAAATGATGATAGTTGTCATTTACATAATGCTTTACCATGTACATAGCACTTTCAAAGTTAAGTACACTTTTTGTGAATCAGAATACAAAAGTGTGGTGTATAGAGTTGCTACTCAAATTAAAAATTTCCTGCACACACACACACACACACACACACACATACACACACAGACAAAGTTGAGCAAAATCCCACACAGCAGTATGAAACTAATAAATCCAAGTATTTGCAAGAACATTAAGTCTGTGTTACACATAGTAGATGCATTTAAAAAGGAATACCATTCTCAGTATTAAAACAGATAAGGATACAGATTCCAGAAATTGAAATATGGTCTCTTAGTACAGTATGATGACAGCATCTTGAGCTCTGCATGCCCCCTACTGTTCCCATTTTGTAAAACTATATTTGAAAACCAGCATGCAGTCCAACAATTAAATTACAACCATAGCATTAAGCTGCAGGTTGGCAGCTGTCCAATATCAATGAAAGTAGGTTACTCTAGGGCAAGCACATCTGTTAAAGTATAATTAGCATATTGTTCAAATGGATATAGACTTTGCAAGTCTTTGACTGAATTGCAGACTAAAGAATAAAAAATAACATTAGTTGTGCACAGCAAAAATAAAAAAAAAATTTCAACCAAATACAACATTGAAAGGACTAACTAGGAAAAACCTTTTATCACAATAAAAATTTATAATTTTATAAAAAATACAGATTTAAAAAAATGAGAATATACTCAATCTTTAAAAATATAACATACATAGCTATCTTTATCATCACATCATCCTAAAAAATTATGAAAATGCTGTCTTATTGCTGAGAAAACTAAGATCATTTATAAGATGAGCCATCTGGTGGTTATTCTTAAAATTGTCTGAATTGTACAAAGCAAACCTAATGTAAAATGGGGAAACAATCCAAAGTTGAATAAGAGAATATTAGTTTTTACAAATGAAATGTTGTTTTAAATGACTTGAAAATAAAGAAAAATATGTACTATCCATACCTATTTGAAAATCATACATAGTTGAAAGTTTAAATGACATAATTGTATTGGTATATTTTTAAGAAACACTTGTTTCTGGTGGCATTGAACAGACCAATAAATTGTAGAAACTTCTTTTTTAAAGAGATTGGAATTCAAAGTTCTGTTTTTACTTTGATTCCTTTGTGTTATGGTTTCTTTTGGCCACAAGTTGAAAATTTCTTGAGATTTTTAATACCATACTTTCAATACTTTTGTGTTTTTTTTGTTGTACATATTCTATAGTGCTGATAGTTTTCCCACTCCATGCTATTTCTTCTAAAGGTCTTTGATGTGGGAATTTTATAAGTAATTGTGCTTTTATATAGCTTTATTTCTTTTTTCCCCTTTTGAATGGTATAGGATTATTCTAGTTAATTATGAACTTTTATGTATATAAGCAATAGGGGAAAGGAATAAATATGGCAATTAACGTTTATTGAGACACAAGAGAAGCCAAGCATTGTTCTAAGTACTTCACCTGCAAAAATGTTATTTAATTAAGTCTTACAATAATCCTCTGAGTCATATTGTTATTCACATTTTTTATAGATGAGAAATCAGGCTCAGTAAAGCCACATAATTTGTTTGAGCGCACCTTTTACTGAGTGACTAAAAGTTAGATTTGAACTCAGGACTCTCTGGCCCCAAGACCTTCACAGCAGTACATTGGTATTGTCGTCTTATGTCCTACCACTGACGATTGTTTACTGTGTGTCAGGCCTTGTCCAAAGCATAGTATCTACAGTATTTTACTGGCCCCTATTTTAGCCCAATGAAGTAGCTATTACTTGTTCTTACTTTATATTTGGGGATAAAGTAACTTGCCCATATCATGGCTACTAAGAAACACAGTATTTGAGCAGTTTCTTTCTGTCCCAATGCCCAATCTTTTAACCAGGAATATACTGTTATAATGTTGAAATTAGGCATCATAATCAGGACTTCATTCTGACTTCTGAAAATTAACTTTGGTTTCTAATATAGTAGTTCCCCCTTACCGAGGGGGATGTGCTGCAAGAGCCCAGTGGATGACCAAAGCACAGCAGTACCAAACCCTGTTTGTACTCTTTCCTCCCATATCCCTGCCGTGTTGCCACATAGTATTGGAGTTTGGGTGCATGCCCTTGTGCCTCCTTAGCATGAGTGTTCTTGTGCTTTGGACTGTTATTAAGTATTACTTGAACACAAGCTCTGGGATTCCACTACAGTTGGTCTGGTAACTGAGATGGCTACTCAGTGATACCAGGTAGGAAATAGAATGTGGATACACACTGGACAAAGTTATGATTCCTGTCCTGGGTGGGATGAAGTGGGTGGTGCAAGATTTCATTGTGCTGCTCTAGAACAGTGCACAGTTCAAAATGTGTAAATTGTTTATTTCTAGAATTTCCATTTAATATTTTGAGACCTTGTTGACTGTAGATAACTGGAAACTGCCGATACAGAAATCATAGATAGCTGGGGATTTAGCTTACTGGTTCTGCCACCTGCCTCGCAAGTTTAAGGTCTTGAATTTGATCCTCAGTACCAAAAAAAAAAAAAAAAAAAAAAAAAAAAAAAAAAAAATGTATCCCCAGAAAAAAAAAAAAAAAAAAAAAAAAAAAAGAAAGAAAGAAAAGGAAAATGGCCAGAATCATAGAAAAGGGGGATTTTGTTTAGCTTTCTTTAAAAATAATTCTGTATTATTTTTAAAGTTTATAAAACATTCCTATAGTTGTCTTTGATATACAAACCAAACATAAGGTTTATAGACAAGGTAATGGAATCAAGATTCATTGTTGCTAGTGAGTGGCATGCTAGCATTTCAACCTAGGTCCCGTTCTGTTCTAATTCTGTTCTGCCACAGAGTTAGTAGTTAGTTTAGAGTGACATAGTTTTGAAAAACAAAGTGGGGCTCTTTCCTGGTCATGGTTTTTATAGTAGTCACAACCTTATCTTTTATTAACTGATTTATTATTTTCTCTCTTCTGATTTTATGTATCTTCTCTGTACACTGATCTTTCCTCTCCTTTTACACCTCCCTTTCTCTCATTTTGCCCTTTAACACTGAAGCAAAACTCAGAGAATCCTTATCTTGAAAATACACTAGCTCTGCTATTTACTGAAACTCGAAGTTGTGATAACTTTTAAAGCAAGGTTTTTTGGTAAAAAGCTTTTGTTAGTCAGTTTTGTCATGTTATCTGGGAGTGTCCTAATTTTTCAGGGAGCACCTCTTTGGTAAAAATGAAGGAATTAAAAATCTTTCAAGAATGTTCTTTGTGACCTACTATTAATGAGTGCTATATCATAGCTTATTTACTTCAAATTAGATGTTTTGCTTTTTTTGACCACTATTGAGTTTGGACACAGTATACAATCTTGGCTTTGTAATGATACTCCAGTTTGGTCTCCAGTGAAGTGACAGTCCCAGTAAGTGTTGGTTGTGAATAAAAATCTGTGAGCATTTTCTCCTGAGTAGGTCTTGAATGATCAAAATAATCTCTCTTGAGATTGAATTGTGCTAATTGGTGTTATTAAAAAAGAAACACTCTCAATTTTGCTCTCATATTTTCCTAGGTTAAGGGCTTTAGAAAAGTAGAGATATTTTTGAAGAATCATTACTTTATAATTGACCTTTCTCTTTTCTCAAAGTGATACTGTAACTTGAAAAATGAGATTCAATCTCTTTCAGACCAAGAAGAAATTTAGTTGTTCAGGAAGCATATTTTTGTATTATATTTTCATGTTATAAAATAATAAGCTTAGTTTTCTTATCAGGCTTGTAAAACTTTGCCAGATTTAAAAAATTAGAGAGTCTAAACCTGTACACAGTGTCTATGTGGAAGTAGATTATAGTAAACATTCAAACCAAATGCAGTGACTCCCCACAAATGATGGAAGAAATAATATCCTCAGCAGGATTCCAGTTTTCAAGATCTTCCTTTTTAGCAGTGACTCCACAAATGATGGAAGAAATAATATCCTCAGCAGGATTCCAGTTTTCAAGATCTTCCTTTTTCTTTAAGTGTCTTTAAGAAGTAGGTTTTTCTTCCAAATTTGACTCAAATGCTGTTTTTTTAATACATACCCAAAACAAAGGTAGTAAGCCTTTCCTGGCATGTTTTTTATTTCTCCCTCACTTCCCTTCTTTTTAGGTTTTCAGACCTCTACTCTGGACTCTCAACTTCCTTGTTTACATTCTTCTATCATCCAGAGTAAGCCTGAATTACTGCCTGGAACATTAAGATTTGTTCTGAGTTTGATCCTTCCTTTCCTTTTTTTTTTTTTTTTTTTTTTTTTAAAACAGCTATCTAAACAGATATGTCCTACAAACTCACTTGGTATATTTTGGGCACAATCCTAAGAAATGAGGCTTTTAGATCACTTGTGTCCAGTATTTCTTCTTTTAGAACAAAGCAGCACATGGTAGCATGGCATGGTGGAAAGTGTCTGGGTTTGGGATTTTGACATGTTTAGGTGCCAGTAGATTCCAATTCTCCTGTACACATGTATATAACCTTTTTGAATCTTGGTTTCACCATCTATGAAATGGGGATGTGATAGCAATCTGCAGAGTTGTTGCAGTAGTTAAAGGAGACAAAACATGGAAAGTTTGTAGACACTTAAAATAGGATTAGATAATTGTTATTGTGGAAAGTGGAATGTGTGGTGGCTAAGAGCTCTGATATTGAGTGAGGGCTCTTGGTTCAAATCCTGGTCCTACCACTAAATGGTTGTATAATCCAAGACCCATTATTCAGTTATTCAGTGCCTTTGTTTTCTCATCTGTAAATGGGAATAGTGATAACAGTAGTGTCTGTCTCATAATCAGGAGTAAATGAATTTAACATATGTGAAATGTAACTCTGCCTAATACCTAGTATTAGCTCTGATCTTGGTGACTGCCTTATCTCCAGAATATGCCTTTAGGATCATTCAATTTTTATTGCTAAAATGTTTGGTTTACATTTCCCTTGACTGACCCTTCTACTTCCTGACATATGGAGACCCCATCCTATCTACATCACCTGCCCAAATGGTTTGCAGGGTCAATCTGTGTTGCAACTGGCTACAGTTACTCTTTTAACCTTGCTTAAATTTCTAGGAAAATCTCACTGATTTTCAGAAACATTTCTAAACTGCACAGGTGGCACTTTAATACTTCTTGTCTGTGGTGAGTCTAGGTCTATTTCTCAATTGATAATTACATTTCAAAAATGATACTGGTATATTTTAGGGTCAGAATATTTCTGTTCTCTTTGCAAAAGAAGCAGTGATGTATATTTATGGAAAATGTAAAGAAGCCTAATTTTGGAAACCTTTGTATAAATTTTTCATTATCAAGAATTTACCATCTCAACTGTCTTTGGAAGCCAGACTATAATAAGTGCATTATAATTGTTACTAATCTCCCTCATTAACAAGTGTCATGGAGGCGGGATGCACACTGGAGAGAACACTGGCCATCTGGGCTCAGCAGGCCACTACTGCTCTGGCTGAGTCATTTATCATTCTTGGAAGATGGAATACATGATACAAAAGTTTTCTTTTTTATATTACGGTGAGAAGAACAAAATCTGACTCTTTTGTTTTGGTGCAGTTTTAGTAATTGAAACCAGATCCCTGTGTGTTAGGCAAGTGCTCTAAGCGCTAAGCTATATCCCTAACTGAAAACATGATATTTTTTGATATAATAAGTGATGGATACTTTTTAATGAAAAAATAATTTTTATAATAAAATTATTAGAGAATTACCACGACAAATACACTGTGTGCTCCATTAAATAAAAACCTACATCTTTTTAAATGGATGAATACTTTTATCAAATATAAAGTTCAACTAGACACACTAAACTAGATTAAGCTTAAGCTTGTGTTTTGAGAACATTGCAGGTTTCAGGTTACTGTGTTTAGATTTCTGAAAACGAATCTTTTGTGTCTTTGCCTTAAACAGAACAATGAAAATGAAACTGCTCTACACTGTGCAGCTCAGTATGGACACTCAGAAGTAGTTGCTGTTCTCCTAGAAGAGCTCACTGACCCTACAATTAGGAACAGCAAGCTGGAAACACCCCTGGACCTGGCAGCACTCTATGGACGGCTTAGAGTAGTCAAAATGATCATCAGCGCACACCCGAACTTAATGAGCTGCAACACCCGCACACACACTCCGCTTCACCTGGCTGCGCGCAACGGGCACAAAGCAGTCGTGCAGGTGCTGTTGGAGGCAGGAATGGATGTGAGCTGTCAAGTGAGTCTTTAGTTGTGCTTTCAAGGCAATGCTGCTGCACCACTTGCTTTTAAGAAATGCGAAGAGATGTAGAGTATAATCTTTAGCTTCGAGTCAATCAAAGGGCTGTCCACATGAGAAATTATCTGTAGATGGCAGTTGTGTGTGACATCAGTCATGCTTGCCTTTCTACCAGCATCAAGCGCATAGCCTGATATACGTTAGGAATCCAGTAAAGCTGAATGAATGAAACAAAATTCCCTTGACACACATTGTGTTTAGCACATTGACACATTTAGAATTCATTTCTAACCACTGTTCCATGGGATTGAGAGCTATTAATTTTCGAGTAACTGTTGGGGAATCAGACTAAAAAATGTAAGAAATGTGCCTATGGACTTGGACACATGTTTGATAAAACTAGACTGTGAATTTAAGTACACTGGATTTAAGTTAGCCCCAACTTGAAAGTTGATCTTTTTAAATTTTTTTTTATTAAAAAAAACACTTTCTGCTTTCATGGTTGCTTCTTGGCTGGCCAGTTGGTGGCAGCATTATCTTCTAACAACTCTTGGTTTTTTGTTAGAGTGTTACTTTTTCTGTATTTAGTAAGTTACTGCTGCATAATGAACTACTCCAAATATAAAGATTTAATATAATAACAAGTTAGCTCATAAATCTGGGATTGGCAATTGAATCTAAGCTAATCTGGTTACTTTTGGTCTTGGGCTTTCTCATGTGTTTTGGTCAGTTGTAAGTCAGATCAGTGTCTCTGTTAGAGAGGTTGGCTGGATATTGCCTGCGTGAGGGTGTGACATTACCATGGGTCTATCATGATCCAGTAGTTTAGCCTGGGCTCACTCTCATGGCAGCAGTATGGTTCCCCAAGAAAATACATATAAGGCTTTAAGAGAATACATAAGGCTTTTTGAAGCCTAGCTTGGAATGGTATACTACCATTTCTGCCATGGACGATTAGCCAAAGCAAGTCAGAAAGGCCACCCAAATTCATGGAGAGGGAAAATGGTTCTGAATTTGAAGAGAGCATAAATTATAGAAGAAGTAATGAATACCAAGAGGGAGTAAGTGTGACACATTTTGCAAACACCTACATACTCCACTGTGGGGTTGTTTTTCCTAGGAATTATCCAGAGGTTGAATCTTGTGTCTCTGCACTTTTTCTTTAAATTTCTAGAAAGCATAGGCTTTTCAGTCTCAGGTTTAAAGCTGGTACACTGACTCAGTAGTTTTCTTTAGAGTTTTCCCTTCCTTATTTTGTTATTTAGATTATTTATTTATTTATTGGTACTGGGAATTGAACTCGGGTCCTTGGGCTTGCAAGGCAAGCGGTGGTGTTGTTTAGATTTTTGTGGAGTGGTTTTTCTGGTTTTTATTTACTTAGCTTTGGCAGTCTTGCATATAAGCGTAAGAAGGTTTTCTGGCCTTTATATTAAGAAACGAGTCTCCACCTAGAGCAGTATTCAAAGTAGGTAGATGCATGTTTTCTTTTGTAGGTGACTCACAAAGTTACTTTAGCAGTTACTTAATGATAAAAGAAGATATTTATTGTCTCAATATGAATTCATCTAATCTGGATTCACTACTTTCATAACACTGCTGAAATAATACTTCTACCTCGTACAGATTACTTTGTAACCAAGAGTTTTCACTATGACAGAGATCCATGAGCCACGTGTGTCCATGGCTAAGATCTTTTCATGTCTTGTCCTAGATGATAAGACCAGAAGAGAAGGAGTTTAGATTTGATTTTAGAAATGTATATTTTGTATGAAAAACACTATATTTTGTGTTTTGGGAGAATTTAAAATCAAGATCTCTTTGCTAAACAACAGAGGAGACAAAAAATTTTCAAGAATGACATATAATAAATGCCAGAACAGAGAGCTTGGAGAGAAATAAAAAAAATTTTTTTCTGTTCTAGTGGTTGGAACAAGAACTTCTAAAAAATATTTTTCTAGGTATGGGGATTGAACATGGGACCTTGTGCTTGTGAGGCAGGCAGCAGTACCACTGAGCTAAATCCCTGGTCTGGAAACAGAACTTTTGCTCTGAGATACATTCCCAGCATTTTTTTCTTTTAGTAAAGATCTTGCTAAGTCACTACTGAGTAGGCTGGGCTTATACTTGGGATCTTCTTTCCTCTTGTCTCAGCCACTCAGTGTACGGATCCACCACCATGCCAGCTGACAAAATCAAGATTTTAAAAAGGAGAGTATGGAAATATATTGATACAAGTGATGTTTGAAGAGTACTTTGAAAATCCAGTAGGACTTTGAATTGTAGGTGTAATTTAACTTGCTTATGTGTATTACTTGATGAAGAGTATTTAAAAATGCTGTTTGAATCCTTTTAGATGGAATGTATACTTTCCAAGGTCTCGATCTTTTCTTATTTTGTATATCACTGCCAATATCATTCCTTTGTATTTTGTACTCTTCTACTGTTAGTTATGTATCAGAGTAAATTGACATAATATATTCAGATCTCTATGACTTCCTGCTCAGAAGCGTCACAGCTGGTACCTTAGTAGGATGGACTGTCTTCTTCGTAGATCCTCTTCTGCTGTAACCTATATTATTTACATATATTCCATGAAAAGTTTTGGGAAGTAGAACTGACAACATAGCTCCAAAATATATCTAAACGAGATGAATTTTCCATCAGATGTAGTTAGTTTTAGTTATGCTTTGCGATTTGTTAATTTTGTCATAAAAACATTTCTTTTTTGAAGTGATGGCTCAGTGCTTTGCTTTTGAGTGAATAATTTATTATTCAAATTAACTGTCAAAAATTTTCCTATCAGAGCTATTGCAAAAATTTTAATATCAAGGAGGCATTTGTTGATATTCTCACTAGTTGAGAGTGAACAATATCAGCCAATAATCTTAGACTGTTTCAAAGAATTTAATATTCATTAAATTACATTAGTTAACCAGTTGGGAATTAGCAATATTAAAAATAACCTCATTTGGTAAATTATAGTAATACACTTTTAGACTTCATTGTACTCAAATTATTATGAATAAATCTTAAGAGTTTATAGGTGGCCTTTCCTTATACTTCTATTATTTTAAAATGCAATATTTATGTTAGTATTTTCTCAAGAAGGTTTTTTTTTATGTCCTTTCTCTCTCAGCAATTTTTTTTTTTTTTTTTTTTTTTTTTTTTTTTTGGGGGATTTGGTACTGGGGGTTGAACTCAGGAACTTGCGATTGCAAGTCAAGCAGTGGAACCACTGAGCTAAATCCCGGGCCCTCTCAACAATTTTAAATTACAGTATTTTTGAACTAATAAACAAGTCAGTTCTTCTTTGGATGAATCTCATGCAGGTTGAAAATCCCTTATCTGGAATGCTTAGGAACAGAGGTAGTTTAGATTTCATATTTCTTTAAAATTTTGAAATATATGTATTCACACAAAAAGATATTGTGGCGGTAAGGCCCAGATCTAAACATGAAATTAATTTAGGTTTCATATATACCTTACACATATAGTCTGAGGGTAATTTTATGCAGCATTCTTAGTGTACCTGCATTTTGACTATGACTTATGTCAAACTTTTCTACATGTTGAACTTCAAAAAGTTTCAGATTTTAGGGCATTTCTAATTTTAGTTTTATACTTTAGGGATGCTCAATCTGTATTATATTTATTTTCATCTTTAAAGATATTTTAATAAAGTCAGTAATATTAAGACAGTAGGGTTGAACTGATAATTTTCTCTTGAAAGTAGCAATTATTTCCATGGATTTCTAACCCACTTTTTGGTAGCTAGGCTATGATAGTATAGTATTATAGTAGTGTTTTAACTTTGTGTATTTCTTATAAGTTTCTCATTAAAACTAGGAAGAATTAATACAGTGAAAATGGCCATACTTCCAAAACTGCTATTACAGATTCAATGCAATCCCTATTGAAATCCCAACAGTTTATTTCATAGAACTAGAGAAAACAATCCAAAAATTCATTTGGAATCAGAAGAGACCTAGAACAGCAAAAGCAATTCTAGTCAACAGAGACATGGCAGAGGGCATCATAATCCCCAATTTGAAACTATACTACAAAGCCTCTGTGATAAAAAAGAGCATGGTACTGCAATGAAACAGACCTGAAAATCAGTAGAATAAATTAGAAGATTCAGAAACATCCCCTGACATAATACTCAACTACCTCATCTTTGACAAAGGAGTCAAACACCTTCTCTGAAGGAAAGATAGCCTCTTTAATAAATGGTGTTGGAAAAACTGGATTTGAACTTGTCAGAGATTAAAATTAGACCTGTATCTTTCACCATGTACTAAACTAAAAGATGTAAATATTAAAATAAACACTAAACTTGCTGGAATATAAGTTAGGTAGAACTCTTAAAGACATTGTTATAGTAAAAGACTTTATGAACAAATCCTCAGTAGCATGGGAACTAGCACAAAGTGTCAGCAATTGGGATCTGATCTTGCTAAGCTTCTGCACTGCCAGAGAAATCACAAGCAGAACTAAGAGACAACCCAAAATGTGGGAATAAATTTTTACCAGCTGTTTCTCAGATAAGGGTCTAGAAGATATAAATAACTCAAAAAAATCAGACCCACAAATATAAAGACCCAATTAAAAAATGGGCATCTGAAATGAACAGACATTTCTCAGACAAAGAAGTATAAGCAGCAAATAAATATATGAAAAATGTTCAACATCACTGGTCATTCGAGAGATGCAGATGAAAACAACACTGAGATTCCATCTGACCCCAGAAAGAATAGCTTCTATCAAGAAATCAACCAATAACAAATGCTGGCAGGGTTGTGTGGAGAAAGGAACCCTTCTCCATTGTTTGTGAGAGTGCAGACTGGGCAACCACTGTGGAAATCTATATGGAGATACCTCAAACAACTAGGATTAGAGGTCCCATTTGGCCCAGCTATTCCTCTGCTGGGTATCTTCCCAAAGGAATTAAAAGAATTATACCACAACGATATATGCACACCCGTGTTTATAGCGGCACA